TGATAATAGTATTTATTACTATTATAATAATAACTAAAATAATAATAATAATACAAATGAATATGCCCCTTTTTATGATAATTTTATGTATTTATATGTAATATTCATATAATTATACTAAATGTCTTGCGTTATACAGCTTTGAGTGTATTTGCGCGTTCGTGTGTGTGTGTATGGTTCAGTGTGTTTGTGTATATATGTATAATCAGGCATGACTTTGTGCACAGTAAGCAAGGCACATTAGAGGAAATCATGCATGTCTCTTTCTATTATATATGCATGTATGTATGTATGTATGTATGTATGTATGTATATATCTATGCATCTATCTATGTATCTACCTATCTACATCTAACTCTGTCTACCCTACCTCTAATCTATCTATCTATCTATCTATCTATCTATCTATCTATCTATCTATCGATCATCTATCTATCATAAGTATCTATCATGCTATTCCTTTACTATATACAGTGGTTGACATCTGGCAAGATAACTAGAAAACATGATAGTCAAAACCATAAACAGAGTTTGGTCAAGCGATTTCCGAATACACCACTATCAGGTTATTACGTTTTAACCCTTCATGTGTTCAACAAACTGCACTGATGCAAGCTACAAAGGTAAAGGTGTTCCCTACAATTTATTTAGCATCTGACATTAAAACCCACATTCCCCTCAACTATGAGGTTTTCCATGGTTAGGATTGGGAGGGGGGCTCCCCAAGTCTTGACCAAGGCAGCAAAAAAAACCCCCAAAAAACAACAATTCTCAATGACAAGGTGCTTACCTTTCAGCAAAAGTTACAGAATGGTGAATTAGGATTCAGGGACTACGATTCAATTCGATGTGGTCTGAAAACTTAGCAGGTCACTTTGGAAACCCCCAACAAAAGCCGATCGCTTTATGGAATTAAATGACTCTGCCCATTACTTTGTTCAAAATCAGTATGGCAGATAGTACAGTTGTCCTTTCAGGAGGCTGCAAACTATTTAACTCTACAGGGAGACTTCAAACAATGGCCCATCTCTTTTAACTGAGGGCACAGTGATGTGCTGGGATGTTGATAATTATTAAATATATGTTCCTGTCTGTAGCATATACATGTTTCATGCCTGTTTCCTGGAGAAGAATAGAAAAAATATTGGCACCCTGCAACATAACATAAAATGGGTGGGGGGCACTCCAATTTTCTACTGTACCATAAAAAAAGGCATCCTATACCTTTAGATTTGCAATGGAAGCGGACCAACCATTCTCGGGAAAAGAATGGGTATTCACAAGGGCTTTGCTATTAACATGGGTTAATTACAGCTGCAACGCACAGGGCTCAGTAAGTAAAAGAGAACAACCATAAATACATTAAAATGAGCATTCAGCTGTCAGGTTGCAACGTCAATGTTGAGGGGAGATGAGATATTTTCGGCACTCTTCCCAAAAAACCTAAACTCAGCACCACGATGAGAATAAAAAAAAAGCAACTTATCATACAACGTTGAGGCATTGGTCTAAGGGTAGCTAGTTAAGTCACTAACCTCCTCAATCTGTATGTTGCAACCTTTAAAGACCACAAGATTGTTTTTTTTTGAACCCTATAAGCTGACGTTACAGTGAAAGCAATGCTCTTCAGCTCCTGCTTGCTAAGTTACACCATTCTATTCCCTGAAGCTCCCCACTCTGCAAGGCTCATGGATGCTTTATTGACACAAGCTCTCTGGGGACAAAACTTTAAGATATGAAAAAGTGAAGCAAGGGAAAGGAGATCCCAGTGAGTGAGGCACAATTCTGAGATCCCAGCTGGGAACCTGATCACTTAAAAGCAATCATTTAAGATTGTGTGCTCACTTATTGCACTAATGTCATCTTATCTCAGAGTCCTCACAGGCAGTAGCTCTCTCTTATTAACAGGACACTTGCAACAGTTTTAGCCTTTCTTGTGTTTTCCAACGTAAAATAAATAAATAAAATAAAAAAAGAAGCAGGCCACAACATGCAGTAATTAACTTCTATAAAATTGTATCCTGGTGTCATACAGATTTCAATCTTCCCCTTCTATTGTTTTACTTAACTGTTCCTACAAACAGGAGCCCCTTCTCTCCCTATTTTGGACTGTTTCATTTGCCTTTCTGCCTTCCAACAGCTGTGACAACTGTTAAAACAGTCAGTAAAATTAAGTCAGCTCTATAATCCTTTAGTCAATGTAACATTTTAATCAGAAGTGGAAGGAGTTTTATCTGAAGAGCCTACTGTTTTCATTTCCAGGGACGAGATTGACACATATGTCAAAATGGGCCCATACATTTATTGCATCTGTTGCCTTAATAACAATTATTTTAAAGAAAAAGGGGGCCACGCACTTACGTAGGCTTAAGTTATCACATTCTCGACCGTCTGACACCCCCCCACAAGCAGCACCAGCACGCAGTTGTCGGATGTTCCCGAATTTTTTTTCCGTTTTTTTAATTTTAAAACGGTCCCTTTTGCGAAACGGGGCAGGCGGTTCATTTAACAAATTCTGAAAGTATGTTGGTACATTGCCAAGGCATGCCATACCTGACAATGCGAGTGTAAAGTTTTGGCACTGTACAAAGCACTTTCTCATGCAAAAATATACCAATTAATTGAGAAAATTTTATTTACCCTTTGCAAAGCTGGGGATTTTGGGGGGCTTGTAGAGTGAACGCGCAGGACAAGTAATACTTCTGCACTATGCGGTACAAGCTTTAAAACACCGTCCCTACGTCTGACATCTGCACACAGATCGTTTCCATGCATCTTCCTTAAGAGGCTTATCTAAACTAATCATTCAAATTAGGTATAAGAAGGTAAATTCAAGAAAGCTTCTTTAGCAAAGATAGAGAGGTGACCACACTTCAAAGGCTGTTTCTTATTTACTGCACTGCAAACTTGAAAAGTTCAGGATAAGGAATTGCACCTAAGAATTTATGATGGGTGACAGTAGCTAATTCAGGCACCTGCCTCTTGTGTTGTAAGCCTTTGAGCCTGACAGCTTTCTACAGTTTTTTTTTATTTTATAGATTTAGCCTTTAGTTATTTACTTCCTCATTTTATCTGACGTTCACGTGGCTACCTTAGAGAAATATGCAGTTGCTTCTTATTCCCAAAGCATCATTGAAAGCTGTATTGCAGTGAGGTCAGTTGTGTCTGCAGCCTAAGTGCTACTCTACAGCTCTGACACAGGCACACATGGTCTTGTGTTCAGCTTACAATACCGGAGACTATCCCCACAATTACAGATGCTTGGCTTCATTGTTAGAGTGTAGCAGTGCGACCAGCCCCACATGACACAAATGTATCAGTGACAGATGCAAAAATATCCTGACCATAAGCAAAAAGGAAAAGGGAGCAAACTGCTCAATAAGGAACTAAGACTGACCGAACACGATGAAGCACAAACCCATCCCCTGTATTTTGGATGTGACTGTCTTATCCCTTTTTATATGCCAATGATAAGACTTTTATTTTTGACTTTTGTATTACAAAACGGGGGGAAGGAATAAAGAAACTTGAATGCAATTTTTATTTCCTGCAGTACAAAATCATCCTAACTAGCAGAGTTACTCATTGACCAGTCCCTATATTGTATCTAGTTAATGCTTACCCACCTAGAATTCAACTTGAGGCTGAGAAACAGAAGACTGCTTCACAAATAGTTCTCCAAACATGCTTTACCATTTTTCAAGTCATTATCCCACAGCACTGAGCGTGCCACTTGCACTGAGTGTGACAGGCTGCTAACACAACAAGCAGATCTGGGGGTCTGAATGGCATGCAGGTTGAGCTCTGTCCAGGGGGGTGGCGGTGGTAAGGGGTGGAGGGGGGGGGGTGTGCAGAGAGAA